CTGAATTTTATTGCTTTTGCTTGATAAACCCTTGTACTTAAATAAGCCTCGAACTTTTTAATTCCTACTCTAATGAGCCCTCAACTTTTTAACTCCCAAGTGTTTAACTTTTAATTTATACCTTGCCAAACCTTGTTATATGATGGTGTTGAGTTGGATCGGGTTTAATTTTTGATCAATTTGAGCTTGACCCGACTCGATTTAGGAAAGTTTAATATCATTTTAAATTTGACCTGAATTTTAGGGTAAAACCCACCGTCCACTTAATCTTAATCTTAATATAAAATAAATTATTTTTTCGATAAATTAGACCTAATTAAAAAATATATAAAAATAATATTATTATAATAATTATCCTTAAATATATATAAGAAAATTATACTATCATCTCAAATATATCAAATATAAAGATAGTGTTATTTTCATACTATAATCACCAATAACCAAAGCATTATCACTTTGAAGTAAAAATTTGGATAAATTATGTGTTTAGTATCTAAACTATCGATTTTGATCCGTTTTAGTACCTAAACATTTAACTTTTTTTCAAAATCATACCTAAAGTTTAGTTTTTGTTTCATTTAGTATCATGCCATTAAAAACTTGAGTTTTTGTTTTATTTTATTACCCGTTCAAAATTTAAAGTTAAGTTTTAAAAAAATTGAAAGTTTAGGTACTAAACGCGTTAAGTTTTTAACAACAGATACTAAAATGAAATGAAAACTAAACATTAGGTATGATGTTGAAACAATTGAAAGCTCAGGTTCTGAAATGGATCAAAACTGATAGTTTAGGTACTAAATACATAATTTAAGATTTGATCCTTATATTTAAAAAGTTTAAAATTAACCCCTCATTTTACCTGCTGAAAAACAGAGAAGATACATTCCGTGAAGATGAAATCGTAACCCAGCTCGAGGATGATTCTTAAGAAATCAATCCTTCGCCGCATTATGTTCAGGTAATTCGGGGTCATGTAATAAGCTTCTTCGCGAAAATCGACACCGTGGGTGCAGAGGGCAAAGCAGTGGCGGTGCGCGATCCGGCAGCGATTGTACGCCTTCTGGTCCAAGGCGATGATCACCAGATGCCTCAAGAACCTCCGTGTGCCGTTCCCGAGCTTGAAGCTCGTCAGAAAAAGATCGAGCACCGAATTGGGTGTGACCCATGCACTGTTCAATGTCGTTAGAACAACGGTGTTGTTCTTCATCGAAGCTATCTTCAGAACTTGGTTGAGCCTCACAAGTAGGGTTTTAAAAAACGGTTTGCGACCATGATTTCGACTGTGATATAGTAGTTTCATCGACGTCCGAGTTACCCACGACGGCTGTAATCACGATAAATCCGAAATAACCGAGCGATTTGAAACCCTGCTCACAAGTTCTTTCTGCAGAATAAAACAAAATGGGTAAATTACACCATTTCTCACTAAACTTTATTCTCTCTTATTTTACTCATTGAACTTCAATTTTTTCAATTTAGTAACTAAACTTTCAATTGCTCATTTTTTTATTGCTTTGAATTATTTTATGATTATTTTCATATGATGTGATGTTTTTTATTATTATTTAATATAAAATAGAAACAAGATATGGTTGAACGCCACTGCTGGCCATCATCGACCGATGTATATGGTGGTTCTTCAGTCCTAAATTTCATAGGTCGCTTCACCTCGACACCATGAGTCCCAATCTGACCTCCATTTTGTTAGAACTTACTCCGAACTCTACGAATTGGAGATTGAAAGTGAAGAAGTCAAAATGTTTCAATCGAGATTCACAGGTTTTGGAATATTTTTCCGGTGAAACAACCACTAGATTCAGACTCATGGGGTTGAGGCGAAGCGACCTATGAAATTTGAGAATGAAAGGCTACCATCTACGGAGGTCAACGGCTCCGGCAGGCGTCCGGTCACCTTCTATTTATATTTATATTTTAAATTATTTTTATATTAAATAATAATAATAAATGCAATATCATACTAAAATAATAATAAAATAATTCATAGTGATCAAAACAAGAGCAATTCAAAAGTTCAGTTATTAAATTAAAAAAATTAAAAATATAAGTAAATAAAATAGGAGATAGAATATAATTAAGTGAGGAACGATGTATTTTACCCCAACAAAATTTAATTGTAAACATATTTTGGGATTCTAACTTGGGTTGTGAGTAGAGTTCGCAAACGGTCGGATTAGGTCGGGTTTATGACCAACTCGAAAAAGTATAAATCTTTTATTTAAACTTGAGTTGATTTGAGAAGTATAGTCTCTCTACGTAAATCTGATTCGAGAATTATATTCCCTCCACTCATTCTCGATCCAATCTGTATTTTTAGAGTGAAAACTTACCCATAATAGGATAAGTATAGGTTGGATAGGGTTTTTAGCTCACTTAACTCAAAATTTAACCTGATTTTTAGGTCTAAACTCGCAGCCAACTTGACCCGAACTATATATATATATGAAAACCATTCCAGCACGGCGGATGATCATCCACATCTCGGCGGACATTTCGGCGGAACCTCTGGAGGTGGACAGAGCCTGCTAAACCCTAAGAAGCCAAATCAGAAGAACACTTAAACAAGGTGACAGACTCTGATCCTTAATTATTATTATCATTAGTGTTAATTGTTAATCTCACGTCTTACATTAATTTAATCGCTCATTACCAAACATCCTTAATTTCCGATTTTACCAAAAACGGAAAGGAGGAGACTGGTTTTATTATTACAAAATTCCTATATTTAATCTTTTTCTTAGAAACTTTTATGAGTTAATTGCATCATACATCTTGCAGATATGACCCTCATTCTAAATTGGTCTCTAAACCTTTAAAAATTCCAATTTTATCCCTAAACTAGGATTAACATTCTGATTAGTCCCCAAGCTTTTTGAACATTTCAATTTCATCCCAAATTATATGCGTATACTAATCCGGTCTCTTGTTAATAAAATCGTTTGGTCAAGTTATATTTTTATATGTTTGAAAAAAATATAAAGTTTAGGTTAAACGATTGTTGATACTAATTACATATTTGGGTAAATTTGGGGATAAAATTGGAAGATTCAAAAGTTTGGAACCAATTTAGATTGAGAGTCATAATTTGAGGATGAAATTAGAATGTTTAAAAGTTTAAGTACTAATTTAAAATGAGAGTCATGGTTTAGGGATGAAATTGAACTATTTAAAAGTTTAAGGACTAATTTAAAATGATGGTCATAGTTTGAGAAAATATGATGCAATTAACCCTTTTTATCGGTCAAAACCTAGTGAGAATTTTTAAACTATACATTTCAATATTGAAATGTTACATATTTTTTTATTAAACTAAAGTGATTATAAAGTAGTATTTGTTTTAAATATTCTCAATCATTGACAATAAATGTTCAATCACCCTGTTGCAGTTGCTGGTGCTCGAACTTGTGACTTCTAGAAACAACAATGATTCCTTTAACCATCGAGGTAAGTTGATTCGTGTTGAAATGTTACATAGTTAAATTTAGGCAAAAGATAACTTTTGCTCCTGTAGTAGATCCAAATTATCACTTTCACCCCTATCATATTTTCACATCAATTTAGCCCTCGAAGTTGCTCAATTGTATCATTATATACCCTACCTCTAACTTAAAACCCTAAATTATAAACACTAAACCCTAAACCATGAACTCTAACTAAAAGTTTATAATTTAGGGTTTTAAGTTAGGGATAGGATATAGAATGATGCAATTAAATAACTTTGATGACTAAATTGATATGAAAATACGATAGGGGCGGAAATAATAAATTGGGTCTACTACAGGAGCAAAGGTGACCCTTAAGCTTTAAATTTAATGAAAGTTTAATAATAGTATTATCAATTGAATTTTTATCTTACATTTCTTGACATATACAACTAATGTAACCCGGTATAATAATAATTTTAGTATATAAAATTTATATATTCTATCAGTTTTGTCCTAAATCGAAATAATTCATCAGATCAAAAGAACTCATCAGATCAAAGCAATAGCTTATTATACAAGAAAACATAAAAATAATTTAACCATTGTAGTAGGGTGTTGATGTGAAAGTAAAAGGGTGTATTTATTAGGAATAATTAAGAGGTCCAAATTAAATTTTATTAAGGAGGGTACAATTAAGCTTAGGAGCCTATTATACAATAAAGTTTCCCACATAGAGTGATCCATCCACATTAATACATATTTTTCTTACTATCATTTCACCATTAACCAAATTGGGCAGACTATATCCACTTAAATAATTTTACTGTAGAAACATTGTTTGTACTTTAATAGGAATATTTCTTAATTTGTTTAGCTTTGAGAATTTATTAAACTAAAAATATTAAGGGAAATCACATATATAGTACATAAACTATCAATTTGTTCAAAATCATACCTAATATTTAATTTTGTCTCATTTTAATACTCCCTTAAAAATTTAATGTTAACTTTCGAAAAAATTTGGAAGCTTCAAGTTTTAAAACGGATCAAAATTAATAGTTTAATACTAAAAGCATTAGGTTTTTACGGTAGGATACTAAAATAAAATAAAAACTAAACTTTAAATATGATTTTGAAAAAAAATGAAAGTCTAGATATTAAAACATACCAAAATTAATAGTTTAGATAGTAAATTCTTAGTTTACCCAAAGTTAAATAGAGTTGGTACATAGAGGTAAACAGAATTAGCTGCTGAGTTAGCTAACCTAAACTATTAATATTGATAAATTCTAATATCTAAACTTTCAATTCTTTTAAAATCATACCTAAAATTTAATTTTTATTTTATTTAAATACCTCCGTTCAAAATTTAATAAAAATTTAGTACTAAAATTTAAATTTATAATTTAAATAATATTCGTATTAAGTTTTAAGTTTTTAAAAATGAGAACTAAAATGAAACACAAATTAAATGTTATCATCGTATTAAAATATTATAAAGATAAATTACTCTAAACTCAGTCATACATCCTAATTAATAACCTAATTAACCAGCAGAAAAATACAATAATATTATAAGACTGAAGATAGAAAAGAAAGAAATTAGACATCAGGTTCCACAAAGAGCAATAGACAGATCCAAGTTCATACTAGTAAGGTTGCATGAATATGAGCCGGAGCAGTCTTTGTAATTAGACCCCGAGACCAACGACAACACCTCGCTGCCGCCGCTGCTGATCTCGCTCTGAGGAGACGGACGTTGCAACGAGAGCGACAGCGATAATTCACAGCCATCGACTTTGTCGTCGTCTTCTTCCCCGTCATCGACGTGTTTGTCACCTACCTTGGAAACCTGAGAAATGGAAACCATCGAACTTGATTACTGCAACATGAAATTTTGTTCATGTACTCATTTCCGGCATTTACCGATAAACCGGTGAGACCACACCACCGTCGCCTGAACCGGTTTTACGGAATGGGGAAACATTTAGTACCCAAGACAAGGGAATTAAAGGCTACGAATGCCATGAAATTCAATAAAGAGGGTTGCTTGTTCCACCACTTTTCTAACCTGCAAAGACCGTTGGTTCAAAAGAAGCAATGTTCGGTCGAGATGCATTTAAGGGTTCATTTTGAACCAAACCCCAAGAAAAGGAGGCAGAAGGGGGTCCCCGGTTCATTGGAAAAAAAATAAAACTTAAGAATCACAGTTGGACCACAACAGTATGTAAAGAACAATCACAGAGATTAATGACAAAAAGCTAACCAGAAAAGAAAAATGAAATCCCAGAATTTCAATCTAAAAGAAAAAAATTCTCTCCTTTTAACTTCAAGATAAGAGAATATGCTATTTCCAGACTATATATATGTATAATATATATATACACACACACACACATCACTGACACAAAAGGAAAGCACACCATTAACAGACAAATTCCAATCCTTTTATCTTCATCAACCTAATGAACTATGAAACTAGGCATGCAGGGTTAGCTGACAATGTATGTATGTATGCGAGTATGTATGTATACCTTAAGGAAATCGGATTCTTCCAAGGTGGTGGCAATGGATTGACCTTGAGCGTGTTCCCATAAGAAAGCACCATGACCATGCTGCTTTATTCCATTATGAACAGCAATGGTCTGCTGCAGATAATCATCAACAAAGTACGGATTCTGATCAGAGATTGAAGAACTCTTGGTCTCGATTCTAGCCCTGAAGAAAAAAGGGTTTCCAAAAAGAAAAGGAGATGAGAAAAGATCATGCAATGTACAATATTTTTTGTTTGTTGCTAGGCACTAGAGGGTTAACTTTATGTATAAATACATGAAAGAGAGTCTGAACCCCCATGGGGGGTGAGGAATAAAGCTAAGCTGTGACCTTTTTGAAGGAAGAGGACAGTATATCAGTTGAGAATCTGATTCTTCAATCGTCTTTGAAGCATCCACAATACACTCAACATGTTTCTCAGTTCTTTGAAGGGTTGAACAACTCCTATCTGTGTGAAGAAAAAGAAGAAATGATTTTGAGTGATGGTGTTTTATTGGGTTTTCATCAGACATGCCAATAGTAGAAGACTTTGGGAGTGAACAAGTTAATGAGCTGTTCATGTCAATTTTGGCATCAAATAAGAGAGAATAAATGAAGTGATACATCTGGTTTTTTTATACCAAAAATCATGTGGAAATGGAGTTTATGATGTTTTGATTCTTGACACCAGAAAATGACCATTAGAAGAAAGTATATCAGGGAAATATTTTTGCAGACTGAGTCACCGAGTTACCTTGTCTGCTGGGATCACTCCTCGTGCTCCTATACATCTGGTTACAAAAGAGCCATGTGAACAAAAGGATCAAAGGTAGAGGATAAACAAAAGTGAAAAACACCACGGAGGACCTGAAGATGGCTTTTCACATGAGAAATGGTGAGTCCTTTCACATCCATGAGTTGAAGAACGAGCTTCGGTGTAGCTTCTGTCCAACAAAAGGACAAACAAAACCCATTATTTTAACACTGAAGAACAACATGAAAAAGAAGAAGAAGAAGAAGAAGAAGCTTACTGTCTTGACCACCAAGTCTGTTAATGGCTTGAACAAAACAGTGATGAAGCTCAGGTGTCCATCTCAAACGAGGCACCTTTGATCTTATATATTGCCTCACTGCACCACTCCTCCCACAGCTACCCATTTCCCTTCCTTTCTTCTTCAACCTCCTCAAAAAAAATCTTCAAATGGGGTATGAAAGAAGGTCACTCCTTTATGGCCAAAGGCATATCCTTTCAAACCTTTCACCAAGATTCTCACTTAGCAACAAACAAAAAAGAAAACCCTTTTTTTAAAGGGTCTATCTTTCTTTCACCTGGAACCCTGGGCTGTTTCAATCTTGTTGGAATTGTCTAGGTACAAAGCAGCAACAAAGAAAAGTGCAACAAATAAAATAAGAGGAAAGAGAAGAAGAAGAGATCACGAGGGGAAAGGAATAAGACGAAGGAAGGCACTGTAAAATTCCTTGAGAAGCACTGATAATACCTGCAAAAAAAAACTCTTGCTTCTGTTTCTAATACTACTCCATGAAATCTCTGCACACTTTTCCAGATAATACTAAAAAAATCTAGAAAAATATTTTTAAAAAATGCTTAATAAATCCCCAGAAACTAAATTAACAACTCTTCTCTCTCTTCCCAGTTCCTCTCATCTGTCTTCCTTGAAATCATTACCCCTACAGCCAACTGCCTTGCATTGACCTTTGGCTGCTTCTCTCTTCTTTCTCTTTCTATATATATATATATATATATATATATATATATATATATATATACTTTTTTTTGGATAAATAATTTTTCTTTTTACCCTTTTAATTTTTAAAATTTTATATTTATATCGTACATTTAATTTTAATAGATAAACTTTAAGTATGATTTTTTACGTACACATATATTTAAACTCGAAATTTTACTTAAATTATATAAAATTATTTATCATTTGAATCAATCTAATGATATATATGGTACGATCATAAAACATCCCATCGGAAAGTGATTAATGAAATTAAAAATTTATATATTTTTTGGATTACTTAGTATTTAAATAATAGTGAAGAAAAACATCATTGATTAAGTGACATCCGTAATAAAGAAACTCTTTTAAGATTTAGTTTCGATTATTATAGATATCAAAGATGTAAATGTTCGGTATCTAAAAATTGAGAATTTTTTAACATATATTATCTCGTACGTTACTAAAAAAAAAATAAAGTAAAAATTTTATAATTTTAGTATAATATTGTAAAACGTCTAGGGAGAATATAGCATTGTAAAAATAGTAATCATTACTATGAATCTTCCGATACCGAGAAGACGACACGTGCTGTTTGGGTATGTGTTTTTTGTTCAACTCAGGCGCGTGGTGTGCACAAACGGATAAATCAGACAATAATATCATGAATATATATAATTTTAGAGATTATTTAATTTATTAAATAATATTAATAATTTTACTTACCATAATATCCTGCGTGGTAAGAGAAAGTAATTTAATTTAAAATCAAACAATTATATTTAAATTATAACTAAAATTTGAATAAATATATTTGATTCAACTATACTATAGTTTCACAAACTTGAATAATAAAATATTTTTTATATATTTATTTGTCTAATTCTGCATTAAAAAAAATATAACTGGGAACGTAGAAAGTCAACCGTGGAGGGGGAATTAGGCAAATTTGACGGTGAAAGGTGAAATAAGACAGATGAGTTTGATGTTAGGAAGATCGCCACCGTCCGTTCAACGGAAAATGAAGGGAGTGATGGCAGTGAAAGAGAGGAACACGTAATGGTGAGCACAGCGGATTAATTATATAGAATAGGGGATAGAATAGTAATAGTATAGGTTTCCGTGTACAGAAAATGGGGAATAAGGAATTTGAATTGTCAATTTCAATTTTAAACAAACGCCATCCCCTCACTCGTCAAATCAATCACATTATCTCCACCGGTTTTGCTTTTCAAGCGCCGGTGCCAACTCATGTCACAACTTACTGGTATAGTTCCGATGGATAGCCGATCAATTTTAATGGTAGATCACGAGAGAATTACGAATCGATCATTATAGTCAAATTTTAGGCTTATCGAATGGTGGATCATGGAGGTTGAAGGATGAAGAAACCAAAGAGTTCATCATCAATTTGGGTATATTAAATCGTTTTTCCGATGAAAATGAGGTTGAAATTACGTTCAAGGGTAGAAAATGTGCGGACTGAAAAGTTTGGATTTCATCAGTAGACAGATGCGACAGCCAACAACTGTAGACACGGCGGCCGACGAACCTGTCCATTAAGTTTTTAACGACCGATACTGAAATGAAACAAAAACTAAACATTATGTAAAATTTTGAAAGAAAAAAAAGTTTAGATACTAAAATATATCAAAATTGATAGTGTTGAAAACATTTTGATGTTTTGATATAACAAATGAATTTTAGGATTTTGTAAATGATTTTCTAAGTATATTCGATATAATTATTCGAATATCAAAATATTACTCCAAGTCTTTCAAAGTTCATTTTAATCCTCACTAAAGTGTAAAATTGTGTTTTATACTTAAACTATTTTAAAATAATTTTACAAAGTATTTCGAGCCTTAATCGAGCCAAAAATATTTTCTTTTTAAAGGGTTTCAAGAAAAATCAGATTGTCCAGGGGTATATATTCCCCCTAGGGTACAAATTCCCCCTGTATGGGATACCGATTCACCACCCAGGGGGTACCGATTCCCCCCAGGGGGTATCGATTCCCCCTTGTCTAACGGTCGAAAACAGATTGTTTTATTAATTGTTTCTCATCTCTAAACGGCTCCAAAACATCCCTAACGACTATATACGACTTCAAACACATTCCAAGCTACAAATACAACCTAAGGACACTTGAAGAAGCAAGAGAACAACTATCCAAGCAATCAAACACAAGAGAAAAGTTTTTCATTCTTATTTCATCTTTCTCTTGTTTTTCTTCTCTTTCCTTTCTTCATCTTCCTTCACCATCATCTCATGAGTGAGAAGGGAACCAATTAGCTCGTCGAGAGTGAGAGACTTTAGGTTTCTTGCTTCGATAATGGCCGTCTTCTTTGATTGTCACTCCTTTGGAAGAGAGTAAATCATCTTCCTCACAAGCTTCAAGTTTGAAATTACCCCCCTTACTTTAACACTTCTCCCCCTTTTTGTTAAATCAAAAAGACTCTAATCTTTGAAGTTTAAAATAACTTTAGAGAGTAAGTAGTAAATTTGACATTTTTTAAAAAAAATCATTTGAAAAATCAAAGCTCCCCCTCAATAAATGCATTCCAAATAAAATTTTGCTTTTAGGATCTTGACACTTAAACAAAATTGAATTTCAACAAAGAATAACAAACATGTTAGTAGCATATGAAATTCAATATATCCAAGACTAAAATACTTTAAGCAATACCAATTGTTGAATTTAAGATCATATGCATAAAGTTTTCTAAAAATGTTATGCATTTGAAAAATTTTGATATCAATTATTATAGAGATATCATTTTCATTTAAAACCAATTTTGACCAAAATTTTATTATGATGAACTAAAAATTCTAAAAAATCATTACAACTTTAAAATGTTCATCATACTCATCTGTTCAACATACATGAGATTAAAACAATGATGCATAATCATTTAAAACCAAAACTCATGCATGCTTAAAATCAAATGACCAACCAAATAATCCAAAATTAAAAGATTAAGCTTAGAGATTACTCATTCTTTTTTCATGTGTGGCTAGAGCATCTTGAATATCATCATTTTCATCACTATTGCTCCCACACACCTACAAGAGACATTTAAGTGGATTTTGGTATCCAAATTGCTTTGGATCCTTGAACGTTAGTTTCAATGCCCCTTGTTCCTTTTGGAACCCATACTTGCCTAATTTTAAAACGTTTTCCTTTCTTCAAAGGACAAGTATGTTCTATATGACCATGATAATGGCAATGTGAGCATTTTGCCATATTTAAACATAATAGGTTGTTTTTAGAAATTAATTCTTTTTCTTTTATTAAGCTTTCAAACTTAACACCTAACTCAAAATTTTCTTTTTCTAAATCATTTATTTTGATTTTTGAAAGCTCTAAATTATTTTTCAAAATCAACTTTTGCTTTCAAAATCAAATTATCTTTATTTTTGAGTTTTGAAATTAATTTCGTATATTTGGAAATCATGGTCTCAAATCCCAAATACAACATATTATAAGCATCTTGTAACTCATCAAAAGTAAATGAATTAAATTCATTTGAGTTAGAAGATACCTCGAATTTTGCTTGAGTGGTCATGAGGCATAGGTTGACTACTTCATCTTCATCATTGGAATCATCTTCATCACTCCAAGATGCAACAAATGCCTTTTTCCCCTTTTTCTTTAGAAGAGGACATTAATACATGACATGCCCTTTTCTTTGACAATCGAAACATACCGAGGGACTCTTCTTCTTGGTTGATTCATGTTTCATGAAAAAGATACCTATTGTTACCAATTGTTGAAAAATATATGAAAACGTTAAGCTCCCCCTTTTTCATTAAGAAAATGATTTTTTTTTCAAACCAAACTTCTCCAAAACATCCCTAACGGCTATATACGACTTCAAACACATTCCAAGCTATAAATAACCTAAGGACACTTAAAGAAGCAAGAGAACAACTATCCAAGCAATCAAACACAAGAGAAGAGTTTTTCAATCTTATTTCATCTTTGTCTTGTAAATATTTTGTTCTTGTGAGCTCAATCTTGTAAACACCTACCTTAGAGAGGTTTTTTTGTTTACAACTTTTATCCTTTTGTAAAAGGGAGAGGTTCTAGCTTAGCCCGTGTAAAAGCTAGGGAAAGGTTCTAGTTTAGCCCGGAAAAACTAGGGAGTTTGTAAGGTTACTCTTTATCCTCAAAAGAAAGAACAAATTAGTGAATTTGTTGGAAAATCTTTGGTGAGGAGCTAAGGTAGTGGACATAGACTTTGGTTGAGAAAGTCGAACCACTATAAATCGTTGTGCAATTCTCTATCTTTCAATCTCCTTACTCCCTAAACACAAAGTCATTCCGACCCCTCTTTACAAACCATTCTGGTTGTCGATTCGAGCTTCTGAAAATCCCAACAGATAGTTTAGATGATAAATGAATAGTTCACCTTAATTAATATTATAAGTTTTTTGATAAATTATGTTTTTAGTATCTAAACTATCGATTTTGGTTTGTTTTAGTACCTAAACTTTCAGTTTTTTCAAAATTATACATAATGTTTAGTTTTTATTTCATTTTACTACCCCTGTTAAAAACTTAACGTTACATTTTTATTTTTTTTAAAGTTTAGGTACTAAAACGGACCAAAACGGATGGGTTAGGTACTAAACATGCTAAATTTTTAATGGCTTGTACTAAAATAAAATAAAAACTAAACATTAGGTATGGTCTTAAAAAATTGAAAGTTTAAAAATGAAATTTTTAACTGCTCTTAATTTAAATTTAATTTATATTTGTCATTTTTGCTCAATATATTTCATTTTATCAAATTATTTTCTTTATTATATTCAATAAAAAATAATTATTATTTCTTTTGTTACATTTTTATTTTTTTTAAAGTTTAGGTACTAAAACGTACCAAAACGGATGGGTTAGGTACTAAACATGCTAAATTTTTAGTGGCTTGTACTAAAATAAAACAAAAACTAAACATTAGGTATGGTCTTAAAAAATTGAAAGT